GATCGTGCAAGATGCAAGATGGTGGTCGTTTTTCCAGAACCAGCACATGCATCAACAATGATATTCTTTTTAGTATGTAATAATGTGTCAATAGCAACTTGTTGTTCAGGAGATGGTGGTAACAACGTCCTGGGTGGTCCGATACCGCGGACAGTAGCGCTCGTCTCATTTGGAATGCTTTCCGTCGCTGCAGCCGCAACATGAACCAATTTTCTGATGCAGATGACGATACCATGAGGCAGACCAGCTTTCTGATCCACAAATGTCCATGGCAACGCGCTCGGCGAGTATGGGAAGAGATGCCTAGGATGATGTGTAGCCAAAGATGTGCTCAGCGTCGCAAATGGCCGTCGAAGGCAGCTTCGAATCATGGTAGAGTCAAAATCAATATTGATTTATAAGTGAACACGTGCAAAGGGAGCTCAGCTTGCATGTGCAACTTCAATTTTGAGGATGGACGAAGGAGCTTGGAGTCCTCTCAGCCGAATGAAGTGGCAAACGTCAGCACATGCAACATATTGCTTTTGATTAAAACCCGATTCAAAGTACTGGGAGTATGATCAAGACGCGAGGGAAGTTTCATGAGGTATACTGCTTTTGAGACATCTCAATAAGGAAAACTAATGATTGTGATATATCGCCATTTGACTCTCTTACAAGGAAAACCGGTGGAGCAAGAGCTATCGACGTTATCGACACATGATTTAGCAAGCTGACTAAGCAACACGTCGAGAAAATGGCAGAGTGCATAGAGAGTTAGTTTCAATTATTGAGATACAAATCCTATTGAAAGCATAGAGTGGAATCCAAAATGGTATTGTTATCTAAGCACATAGTTAATTAGTCATGAGTGAAAGCACCATATCCAAAAGAAAGAAGAGTTCTCATCGAGTGCATTTCCTAAATTAGCTTCGGAAGCCGACTTTTATTTCTTGTTCCTATGGTACTAAGAATTGACACAATGTTACGCGGCCAGCTTCTGCTCAGTGGATATCAATTCCATTTTCTTTGCTTTTGGCACTACCTAGGTAGACACTAAGTACATCATAAAATTTCGGATCTGTCAAATTCGGTCAGAAGCTCAATGGTATCATCCGCGTATTCATTCCATTCCTCACTCTTCCACCAGTAGTCCAACACCTGTGCCTCTTTTCGCTGTGACTTATTTCCCTATTGTCCATACACAAGGCAAATCTAGAGTGATCTCATCCTAAACATCCTCCTCGAGCCCCTCAACTCTTCGAATATCTAACGAATCTGACATCAACCTCCTAACCAACAGACAAACCCTCTTTCCACCCCCGTATGGCCCCCTTGAAAGATCAAAAGAACAAACGAACCTCATTAAAATCCTCCGTAGACCATACTCCGATCACCGCCAAGAATTCTGCTTACTTTATATGACGACCTGTCTAACCACCACATACCGAGTCACCCATTAACGTAAGAAATGCACACTATCAAAATGCCCATGTCTGCTGTGCAAAAAATATATAAAGTGATACTTCAGGGAATGAAACCAATTAGGACCAATGCGCAAACCTCTCCAATCCCCAAGTGGTTGAAGAAAAGACTCGAAGATCACTCCATACACACCGAAATTTGTAATGTCGTGCGTTGCATTTTGTGATATTTGCATCAGTGAAACACTCAACATTTCGGACAATATCGAAAACGGATTGGAAGCAAATTTTCAACGGGCGAAATCATTGATCCCCGCTCCGAGGCAGCAAATGTGACCAAAATCGTTGTGATCTTAACAATTGAAGAATGCATTGCTACCACATGCGCATCGCAATGGCCCTACTTCATGATGCAGGATTTTGAAGCGATTGATGTGATGATTACCGTGCCACATAATACCATCACGCCTATCTAGACTCCTAGTTTCAGATCGCCAACGCCGATCCCTTCATTTTCACTTTCTGGAGCACAATGCACCCCAAGATAAACCTTTCAAAATGGATTTTTGCGCCTTATAAATGCCCGCGAGGATCTGACTTGAGCTTGTAGATGCATGAAACTATATCTGGCTTGGAGTTGAGGGTGTCTCACAACCCCACTACTACATTCCTGGCCGCGGACTCGTGGGCTTGATAATTCTTTATCGAAAATTATGATATTTTGTGAAACTTCAAGGAAGTAGTATTGATAATCGTTAAAATTGTAATGCGGTAGAGGAGTAAGGCATACGAGCTTACTTGTATTCTTATTTGCAACGTCCGATACTTCTCAGACGTTAAATAATAGAAATAGGAAAAGGTATAGAAGCGCTGCCGGTGGCTGGTGAGATGACGATATATGTGATGGGAAAATGAGACAAATGATATCCACCTGGTTACATTAAATTTCCTTCAGATGAAGAAGCGAGATACTTCCCGTGGGGGCTGTAACATCTTCCTAACTTGTAACAAACCAAGTGAGTTCGTGAATGAAAACATAAGGATGCATGACAACCAGGATAATTCATCCTTACACCAGCTCGTCCCGCTCCAAATCCATGTTCGCAGAAGTTGTAGATTAAATATTCTCTTTTTGGAGGAGGGAGAACCACCCATACGTTCTTGTTTATACTGATTTTTTGTTGTTTATTTCGTGAAACTAGGTGGTCGTATTCGTGCAGCAAGGTCTCCTTGATACGGTGAAGCTGTTGATAGGATCAATTATGGTTATCAACCCTCAGTCGTTCCGTACTAAGTTCGTGTTCGATATGTGAATGTTGACTGAGGTATGGTTCTCGAACATATTCCATGCTGATACCTGGATCTGTCTGCGAATTGTTTGGAGAGACAGATAACACAATCTTCAGGTAGATGTGATTGACTTCCACGGTATTGTATCGGCCCTAGGGTACGAATTCCATTCTCTGAAAGAGAGATCTCTCTAACTGAGCCGACGCACCATCGTCTACGCACAAAGTTTCTGCTAGGTTTGACTGTGGTAAAGCATGTAGAAGGGATTGGGCGTTGCAATGAACGTCAATACACCATGGTACTCACCTAACATATCTCCATCACCAAAAGTTAGCTTGATTCTGAGATGGGCAAACAACATGAAGGACGTTTTCATACCAACTATTGCCAACTCTCTGCGGCGCCTTGGACGGGACTTCGGTGACTTATCAGGGTGCGAGGACTCTCATTGTCCATTCATTTCGTAAGGCGTTCGTCTTTAACAGTAGGTATTGTGAATCTCACGCCGCCAACGAGCCTACAAACAAACCAAATTGATTTGGGTCAGCAAGTTGCATTTGATTGTGGAATATAATTGGTCGTGTCAGCAGGCTGCATATTACTCGCACTAGTCTCCTCTTGTTCATCCAATGATATTCTCTTCTTATCATCAAAAGCGGGGTCTAGAATTCCGGATAACAGCCTCCTCGTGTAGCCTCGTCAGCTCTCTCGTCTTTACCTGTAAAGTGAAATTGTATATCATTCACACATTCCTCATATCACAATATGTTTCCTTTCTCACCCCAATTGCTCAATCTTCCTCTCTTACAGCTCCCATCACAATTCCCACCATAGACCCTCTCTCAAAAGGCATCATGCATTTAATTCTGACCGGCGCAACCGGTCTTGTCGGTTCAGGTATTCTCCAGCAGATGCTCATACACCCCTCAGTAACCAAAATATCAATCCTCTCTCGAAACCCTGTTCCCCTTGCCGAAACGCATGCAAATAGCAAAAAAGCAACTGTCATCATCCATTCTGATTTTAAGAATTATCCGGAAACTGTTTTGGAGCAATTAAAGGGAGCAGAGGGATGTGTTTGGGCTTTGGGTACTAGTAGTGTAGGAATGGATAAGGAGTGAGTCTTCACTCATACTCTGCGAGGATTTGTGTTTATCAGTTTAAGAACAATGTTGACCAATCAATCATAGAAGATACACCGAAATAACCAAAACCTACACCCTCCGCGCCGCTCGAGCTTTTTCTCCCCTCTCCTCGCCCAAACCCTTCAAATTCCTCTTCATTTCTGGCGAAGGCGCAACCTCATCTCCTGGTATGCTAACTGCCATGTTCGGAGTCGTAAAAGGTGAAACTGAAGCCGAATTACTCGCTCTTCCTGCGGAAAAAAGTTGTGAGAATCTCAAAGTATACAATGTGAGACCAGCCGCAGTGGATTCTTCTCAACATGGAGAGATCAAAGAATTTATGCCGCAGAGAGCAGGTGTCTTGAAGCTGCTGGAGGTGGGATTTTTTCCAGTAATAAAGACTGTGGGTAAGAATCTGTATACGCCGACCAGGGAGATGGGAAAGGTGGTTACGGAGTTGATGTTGGGAAATGGGGAAAAATTGGAAGGGAGTGGGGTTATAGAGGGAAGAACTTTGAGTAATATCGGATTGAGGAGGATGGGAGGATGGTAGACAAGAGAAAGAGGTTTTGACACAATTCTCACGATTCTCATTTGGTAATAGAGAAATTTTAATATAGTATTGGTGAGGAATTTATTTACTCTTATTCTATCTCATTTCGAGACCCTATGAATATCTACCTATCTTCGAATCTTTTTTGTTAGCTATTCTCTGTAGCTGTATATATTCAATTCCATTCCTCTCCCTTCCATCCCAAATCCTCGACAGAGAAGTCCTGACACATTCCATCCATCCATAATCCATCCATCCATAATCCATCCATCCATAATCCATCCATCCATAATCCATAATCCATCCATCTCATAATACAAAGGAAATTCAAATGATAGACAGTATAGTATAACATCTCCCCCAAGCCAACATTCCCCTTTTAAGAGTTAAAATAAAATTGGTATCATAGAATCGAGTATAACAAAAAGAAAAAACTTAAAAAAATTAGAGTAACCAAAGAAAGACAGCCGTATCATAGCAGACGATGTGAATCGTGAAAGTCGTTATACGTTTCTACACGGAAAGCAAAACGCCAACGAGATTAATGAGGGGGGGACCACCAAAAAGTATGGGAGAATCGCCAGCAAAAATAAAAGAGCACAAAGATAGGACAGGTAGGCAGGTGAAGATTTAAACCTTAACACCTTGCTTTCCAGCGGGCATGGTGAAAACCATTGGTCTGAGCAAGAAAGGCGACATTGGCGCCACGGGTGCAGAAGATGAGAAATGGGAATCAGCTTGCGAAGCTTCAGGAGCCTTTTCCTTTCGTGGGGCCTGTGCTTGAGCTGTTACTTGCTTCTCATGAGATTCATCTGATGAGGAAGACAAAGTAGGATCACCCATTCTATTAATCTCATCTTCCACATCGGCCAACAGAGCAAAAACATCCGAGTCAGCATAGATGCGAATAGATTCCACTGCTTTCCGTCTCGCCTCTTTTTTCTCTTTGAGTTCTGCTTCGGAAAGGTGGGGTTGAGGAGTCATAACGTCGACTGTGCGATGACTTTCTCGCACAGGACTAATTCCCTTGATAGGACTTCGTGGTGGTGTAATGGTATTTACACTATTATTATGTTTTTTAACTGAAGGAGTAGTAACGGGCATACAGACAGCCGCAGCAACATGTTCCAATAACTTTTGACGCACTCGTGTGCGTCTGTTCTCAGCTTGATCGAGTTTGGATACCCAGTCATCAATTGATGAATCGAGTTCCGAGAGTGCTTCTTCTTGCTTGAGAATGGCATCGTGGGAGAATTTGGCGGTGCGGGGTGAGCGGAGATAGGTACAAATGCGATCGTGGAGATTGCGACGACCGGCACGGAGGGAACGGTGGGTTTTGCGGAGGTAGAGACATCGTTCGTCGAGAGCGCGAAGTTCCTGGGTTTGTTAGTAAATTGTTGGAAAAAGGAGAGAGAAAAAACATACTCTTGAAAGAGCTTCCACATCTTTTGAATTGAGAACCTCAAAGCGACAAACTTGGCCAACAGCCTGACATCTAAGTGTCTCCATTTCCGTTTGAGTCAATTTTGAACTTGCTTGAGCAGCCTTGACACCCTGGGGTAAATGTTCGAAAGCCATTTGCTCCTCGGAGGTAGGAGTTTTTTTTGAATGCAAGGGCTTTGGGGCCGATGCTTTGATGGGTGATCCATCACTTCTCTTCTTAGGTCTTCCTCGATCCATTATTGAGGGACCAGATTCGGACCCTCCACGTCGATGAGGCACATCGTGAGCCAGATTTCCGGCTCTTGGCTGTTGAACAAAAGTCTCTGATTGGTTGCGGAAATGACCGGGGGAGGTTCGTCGAGGGGTTGGAAGTGGAAGAGTGATTGAGCTGGAATTTGCGCTCTGCTGCATGATTGATGAGGCGTCTTTGACCGGTTTAGGAGATGATCGTCCGGAGAGAAGATTCATCCATGGTCTTGGTGATGATCGACCAGTAGACATCCAAGGTTTTGGAGAAGAACGTCCTTCTCGTGGAGAACTTGGGGTTGTTGCTGCTGTAGAAGCACTAACAGATGATGAAGGGGTAAAAGGAGAAGATCTATGATATGGAGATTGCTCCATCATTCTAGCGGACTTTGGTGGCACTTGTGGTGGCATTGGTGATCTTAGTGTACTTGGTGAAGACTGGGTACGAATTCTTGGTGGCACTGGAGCATTTCTGGATGGAATATATAGAGGAGCCAAAGATTTTGGTGAAAGTGGTCTGGGTGATTTCGAACGGCAGTTGGAATTTGATCGTTGTCTTTTCAAAACGTTGGATTCATGAATTTCGTTTTCAATCTCTGCATTCTCATCTAGAATTGGTCCCTCAATACATGCAACTAAGGATTCGCCATATGTATGCTGTCTCCATTTACCACCTGGAGCACTGAAAGATCTTTCGTGTAGAGGAGGTCGTCCTGGAATAGTAGCTATTCAACGTTATTTTCAAGCATGCTTGTGAGATGTTCAAGGTACTTACGAGAATCCATCGAAACTTCATGTACAGTAGTCATTGGTCCTAATTCGGTGACACTTGGTTTTCTTCGTTTGTTCAATTCTTTTGGTTTTTGAACGTTGTGCTTCTCTCCCAACGCCAATGACAATGAGGATTCTGGACTTTGTCGATCTGAGCCAATTGATAGCTTGTCTTTAGAAGGAAATATACTGTATTTCCGTGGTGCTTCACTAGGTTGGTGCATTCGCCAAATATGTTTTTCTTTCTCTTCCATAACTGGGGATTCCGAAGGCTAAATATAGTGTGAGCAAGAACCAGCTTGTCCACAAAAAGGATTACATACAATGTCTTGAGGTGAAGATACCCCCATGTCGCGAGCTATTAAGTTATTTAAGCCAACACTGCTCGTAGCATCGACCAAGTACTCGGAAATATGAGCCATATTAGGAATTGATCCGTCTCGAAGCTCCTGGCTCGATTTTCCGATTCAATGGGTGTAGGAAAGAAAGTTCAATACTCAATTGTGTAAGAAGGAATGTGGCATATATATTAATATAGCGGAGAAAGAAACATATAAACGGACTCGATCCACTTGAAGACTCTAAGAGACGGAAAAGACAGGATTAAGATATAGTCAAGGAGTGCCAGACACTTGGACCGACCCAGCGAGGGGTTCAAGTGGGGATATGTAATATTCCTAATATATTATCCCCAGTCTATAAGGTAGTGTGCAGCAGAGCCCGTTAGTGCCCTTTCTTTTCTTCTCTTACTATAGAGTGAAAATCAACTGTTTTAGCGTCTGAGACAGGCACAATGACAAGAAGGGGCTAGTAAGCACCAAACCATGTGGAAAAGTGCATATGATGCCGGATAAAGCACGGAGGAAGATAAGTTTAAACTCTGGAGTTACCTATTTGCCTCTTTCACTCAATGGTACGGTACCAAGGCACTGTGCAGAATGGTTAGTGCAGAGAGGCGAAATTGTGATTTTGGCAAGTGTTTGAGGGTGCTGGTGACAAAACAAGGGTGGTTGATGAAATGAAACCGCTTGGAGCTTTTGACAGGATAGTAGTTCGCTTACCTCGATGGAATCAACCAAGGGTCCGTGCTGCCCCGTGCACATTCATGGCACCCATGTAAGTGCATGGAAAACTAGGAATACACATGGAAGCTAGGAAAAAATAGGCAAGAAAAGTCGTTGACTGCATGATAATTGCAAGGAATGTGGGATTATGCCCAGGGCTATCTACTGGTGTGTAAGAAGAATTAACAGGTTCTTATACTAGCTAGGTAGAAGAGAGGTGAGGAGGTCAAAAATAAGGGTAGCCGTAAGACATGAAGATTCAAGAGCTTCGTGATGATGATCAGTGGTGAATCATGTGGCACACATGTACCTGCTTACTCGACGGGGTGGCTGATTCAGGAATGGAATTTCGAAATTCATAATGTTGACATGATGACTTGATGTCATTTTGAAGTTAATCAGAGGTTATACTGATTATCTCGGTGTAAGTTCCGGGAAGTTTGATAGATTACTTTCATCCTGCTAGTTCTGATGATCATCATGGGACACATGGAAAAGAAGCTTCGTATCAGAAGATTGGGCCATCTTGGCAAGTTGGCGATGTATTTGCACAGACGTCAATTTAGGGTTGAGAGTCTAGCAAATCGGAACTTCATCTTTGAATTATTTTGTTCAAGTACCCGTGAATCAGTGGATCGTTTCTAGTTTCGGGGTCGATGTGGAGATTTTCGTTTGGAGATTAAACCCTAGAAAGTCGTCTTAACGCTCTAAAAACAGGCATAACCGCTATAATGATACTGCATCTACAGGCTCCACATCGAATCTTGGAACGAACTGACGAGAACTTCAAAACAAAATATCATGTTTTTTTGAATGGGAAATCCCATTGTGGAACAGATGGAAAGGATCCCTGGTGTTTGCTCTGTTATCTTATCATCATAGATGTCAACCGCGGTTCTTATTGCTTTGCAGTTTTGCTAACGCTGATTTTTGATAATGCATTCTCGTCAAAAGCCTCATTATTCAAGTACATGAGACTAAGTTTGTTTCTAGAAGAAAGTTTCTATCATAAGAAAACTCAGCTTAGTTGCTTCCACCACTTAATCACAAACTTAACAGACTATATGAGAGTTAATCTTATACTTATGACTCGCCTATTATATCATATCATCTGGACTTGTTTGCTATGTTCTCCATAGATTCAAAGCTACTCCAACTGTCTCACAGACTATAGAGATTTACAAGAAATTTGGATTAATGTTCCTAATCTCCGTCATCTCGATAATCTCACAGAAAAATATCTAATTGCCTTTAAGACAGCATCCGTTCGTGTGTGTTGATAAGTTTGAAGAGCCGGTGAAGACTTCATAGTGGGGTGGACAAATGTCTCTATTCAGAAATCCATTCCGCACTTGTCTGTGCAGTCTCAACCTCTAGACTAAAAAAAATGTGGAGAAGAACTCTCAAACCTCCTTGATACAAGAATCTAAATCTTTTCGGCACCAGTCCGGCATTTTGACCAATCATTATTGACTAGGGATTGTTCGAACTCTTCATATCATTTCCGTGTTGATCATGATGACCTAGATGTCCTTACAAATGGAAGTTATTACCTTGTTGCTCATCCGGATAACTTGCCATTCTAGGATAATTCTCCTTAGAAAGTGTTTTGCGAATATCCCGTTGGATTAATTTCTTCCTCTAGCTTTTGGTCTCTCTGCCACGAGACGTGGACAGGATTGTGAAAGCTTGAGTGTGAGCTGAAAAGTGCAAATGTGGAGTATTGGAAAATCTGGATGCTTAATATTTACTTTATTTCCCCTCCGAAACCCCACGCGGGAATTGTGTGATTGAACGTCATTCTGAGATCAACCAAAAATTTAGGCGATTATTTGATTACTTCAAAATCTTGATAGGAATAAAGGGGTATCACATCAATCTAAGAAGCCGTCCGGAATGAACAACGAAATTATCAAACGAAAGGTTATATCTTCCAAACGTCGTCGACCAGGTCTTCCCCACAAGTTCGTACATCAGTATAACGGTCACCAATAGGAACACATATACCACAGTTTAGAACCCTAAAGCTTGCCAATAGCACATATATTTTAAGCACAAGGTACTTCATATTTTTGCCTATAATACAACAAATAGAATCTATAACGGGTGACATTTTATTACACAAACCTATATGCGATGCCCAACAAGCATTTGATCAACAACTTCATCGATTCTCGTTGTGCTTGTTTCGTCTAATCTTTCCATCTTTCCATTTTTTCATTTCCCTTGTCAATATTGGGCTTCATGATAACCTACCAAGAACCGGTATGAAGAACGGCGATGTTGTGCGACTTCGCAGTAGCAGCAATGTACTCCTTACATCTCTGTATGCGGATACTCTCTAAGTCAGGAGTTGTTTTTCTAACTTCCTGCGTTTGATTTAAACCTCACATCTTCATCTCATCTTTCGTCTTATGCGGTTCCAATGCATAAAGGGGTACAATCCTACAGATCACGCTAAACACGAATATGCGAGTCAGATCTACATAGGATGATTGACCACCGCCACATTTCATGTATGCTTCGCATTGATATCTAGCAAGTATCTTCAACTTCATGATTCAAAACCTACTTGTAATTGTAAATGAGTGACGGAACGATACTTCCGGGCTTGTTTTGAGTTCATCCCCATGATTGATTGTGAATAAATCCTATTTTTTTTCACATAATTTTGAAACTGTGTTTTCTTGAGAAAGCACTTTCCAAATCCATACTACATCGCTTTCTCTAATACTACCCTAGATATCATGATCGAGTCTCAATGGTTCTCATGACGGAATCAAAGTGCTATATTTGGCCTTTCACGTAACCGTCAGCACATGGCTCCTGTGACGAGAAGAGTAGCCCGTCATACAAATGGATATTGAAGGTGCCATGAGATAGATCCCCCTTTCGTATCTTTTCACGAATTTTGCTTGCGGGAAGAACATCATCAAGAATTGGAATCTCTAGTCTAGTCCTTCCTACATCCAATTCTGATCAACACGATACCAAATTAGAAACGCATAATGTTTACCAATAATTCATCATTAATTCTCCGTAGCTCCATGGTGTAATTCTCTACAGTGACACTTTGTTTGTAGGTAGCGAAACATCTGTCAGTGTCAATAATGAATATCATGTACAAAAAGGGACTTTGCATTGTAAGAGTTGTGGCCTCAGCTTATCACACACTAAGCGAAAACACATTAAAAACCCTTATTTCTTCAATTTTTAAATTATATATTATTTCAATCAAAAAATGAAATGAATTTTTTGAATAGATATTCAAATAATAATTTAAGAAAATAATTTAAAAAAATAAATGGAATATTTTTAATAATTTTTTTGAAGAAGTTATAAATCTTTAAAATCAAAACTTTCAAAAATTTCAAAAAAATCGATTTTTTTATATAGCAAAAGTGTTAGTTATATGTAATAATTTTTGAAAAATTTCAATTTTAAAAATCAATAACTTTTCTAACAAAAATTATTAAAAATATTCCATTCATTTTTTTAAATTTAAAATACTAATATTTTTTATATATCAAATTTTCAAATCAATAATTCAATATTTAATAAAATAATCAAAAAAAATTAATTTATATAGAAAAACAGCTTTTTTGTAGGGATTTTGTTACGAAATAAGGTGGTGTGCGATAAGCTGAGGCCACAACTCTTACATCATGCATCTAAAATTCTTCAATTCAAATTGAGAGAGATTCGGAGAATAGGTATCTAGATTCGTCTAAATCGTATGATCATATCACAATCTTGATCTTTTGCAGACAGGAAAGCTTTCCCCGCCCCTCCATACGTCGAATTGTTACATGGGAAAACCAAAGTGGCTCGACTCTCGAGTAATACAGCGAAATTCTATATGAATCTCATTAAAAGACAAATATTAACTTTTGTCAACATACCGTGCTTAAACCTTCCGACGTTAAACCCTGAACACTTGGTCTTCTGGCCCTATAGTAATAACACCGATAACAAAACATCCCAGAAACTTCAGGATAAATACCTCCCAGCATAATGGAAAAGTCGATCAGCTGTAACCAGTCTAGTCTCTCACTCCGAAAAATCGGGGTCAACATGGGATATCCATTGGTGCCAAGCCTATGGTTCGAAACGCGTCAACAAAATATATGAGGAGCTTCCGACTTTTCGATACCACGCCAGTAAATCAAGTAGATTCTGAAGCACGAGGATGGTGGAGAACTGTGGCTATGTGGGAGGATGAACAGGAATGAAATTTTCAAATACGGACTCTTTGAGCTGCGTTTTATTACGATGTATGTTTGAGAACGTGGCTCACGTGGGTCTTCAGGTACCGTGGAGTGAAAGTGGGAACGGCAGTATTGGAGGAAGTGGAGAGT